CAAGTTGCTTGAACTTTTTAATGTCAATGACATAGTTGTCATAACAATTTTCTGGGAAGGACAGGAATTCTTATATCGGGATATCAATAAGAACACTGATGAATGTGTCCTCCGTTTATTCATGGCACATGGTATAATACCACCTAAAAGCCCAGAAGATTTAGCACTATTTTTGGAAAGGTTCGAAGATAACTTTGAGATGTTTATGAAATCAGCAATACAGGTTAAACTAATCAAACCAGAAACACAAAGTAAAGACTTTGATTTCATCCACAGTAAAGTCATTGAAGATCACAGCAGCAAGTTCCAAGCTCATCTTGCCTGTGTTACCTCACAAGAACAGGTTGAACAGGCTTTAGAACAGCTCAAAAGAGACAGTAAGATTGCCAAAGCATATAGCATTGTTGTATGCAGAATTTTTGACAATGAGAAAAAGGAATTTGTTCTAAGTTGTGATGATTATGAGAATGAAGCATGCAAAAGGCTATTACACCTGTTACAAATATGCAAGGTAGAGGATGTAGTTGTCATAGTAAGTCACTGGCATGGAGGCGATAATACTGGTCCTGACAAGTTCAAGCACATTAACGCCTGCGCACTGGAAGTGATCAAGATTGCGACTGAAGAAGGAACCATCCATACTAGTGCTCCTATTGAGATTATTTGCCGTGGTCCGCAAGCATTGGAAGCCTATAAAAATGCTCTTTTGAATGGAGAAACAAAAAATCAACGATTATTTTTGATGTTGATTGGCCCGTCTCGCTCAGGCAAGACAAGTTTACTTAAGTCTTTTAAAGGTAATGGGTTTAAACAATAAATATGAAATTGTTGATTATTTTATAAACTTTAAATGAAATAGATTACAAACGCTAAAACTGTGCAACATAAATACCACTAAATACTGCTAAATTATGCTAATTCTATTATTTTCTATTGTTTGATTTTGTAGTAACACTATTTTGTAGTAAATAGTGGAAGTAAATAGTGGAAAGTGTTGCACACATGTATTTAGTGTTTGTACTCAACCAGATATTTCTAGTATTTCATCAAGAGTTATTGAAAAGAGTTGTCCATACAATAAACTGAAACAAATACTGGTAAACATGCATGCTAGCATTGACTGGAAAATGGTAAAAATATCAGAATCAAAAATTAAAGGCTATAAGACTAGCACTTCAGTTAACCATGCACTTCTCTGTAAATTCTAAGATCTTTGACCTGGTTGGTATTCTCCTGCTTATTCTTTATGTCGAAGCAGTTTTCCAATTAACCGAAATGGCACGAGAATACCAGCCAAGCCTCTTGATTCAGGGTAACATGTGATCTTCCTTGTGTTGTTTCTTTTGATAATAATCTGATAAATAGTAGTGTTTGAATTGGCTAAAACCAGAAGTACATAACCAGAAAGCTAGCCAAATTTTTAAAAATTATCAATCTTTCAGGGGAGGATTTTGATCTCGACGAAGATAGCACTGATCTTATAGCCCTACATCACTACTGTTGCAAGCTAGTACCCAGCGTTTGGGTAAAAGATGGTGCAAGTGAAGACGAAATTTCTTTTGAAAGCGTCATGGCAAAAAGAATTGCCGAGAATTATCAGGTTTTTGAAAATTCTGATTATGGCGTGGAGAGAGAAGAGAAAAGATCTATGAGTGCTGATGGTATTTCAAGCATTGAAGATAAGGTAGACGCAAAATCTCATCCAGTTGTAGACATAGACAAGAAAAGATCTGGAAATGTCAATGATATATCAGGATCTGGAAATCCCGAAAAGAGTTTTGTAGAGCCAGAAATTGCGAGACAAGAAAATTCTCATTTTTCAAGAAATGAAGCAGTTGATAGTCAAATTGGTCCTAGACTGCAGGCAAAGATACTGGACGCTCTCGCAAAACAAGAGGATACTGAAAGTGAAGATATCATTTGTACAGCATTGGATATTGCCGGTCAGCCTGTTTACGACGTGACTCATCCGTTGTTTATTTCCACCAAAGGTATTTTTGTTCTTGTTCACAATTTGGAAAATGATGCAAACAGCCAGTCTGTACCGCTTACAAAGAAAGGACATGCAAGAAGAAAAGTAGTTGACAAGTGTCATATGACAAATATGGATCATCTAGATTTCTGGTTGTCCTTTGTTGCATTAAATGCAACACGCCAAACTCACGACACGTCTTCGAAATGTACATTGATGCCAAAGAAGCTACCACCTGTGTTCCTAGCATGTACGCACGCAGACAGCCCATTTGATGGACAGGATGCTAAAGGTATGTCAAGAGAAATCCTTGAGCACTTGATAAAAAAGGACCACCTACCAGGGGAACACGTAGTCAAAGGGCTTTATCTCGTCGATAACACTGTATCAGGTTCGTCTGATGAAGATGAAGGTGTAAGAAGATTAAGGAAAGACATTTGTGAAGTGGCAAAATATCTGCCACACATGAATGAGGATATCCCGGTGAGATGGTTTTGGTTTGAGAAGGAACTTTCATCTCTTGTTCAGGTTGGAAAGAAAAGGTATTTGTCCACTGATGAAGCAAAGACGATCGCTCTTGACTGCAAAGTTGATGTCAAATCTGCTGAGTTCCTCACTCTCCTAAATTATCTGCATGACATTAGAGAAATCATCTTTTTCGAAGGTACCGAAACTGTCTTCATCGATATCCCGTGGTTAATCAACATGATAAGCAAAGTCATCACAGTTGAGCCTTTCGAGAACTGGCAAGAGGAACAGACAGATTCTTGGACCAAACTCGAGAATGAAGGAGTGGAAAATGTCTGGAGAGAAGTAGCAGATGACAAACATGCCATTGATTCTCTGTTGGTGATTATGGAGAAATTCTCACTAGTTTGCCGCTGGAAAATTGATGACAAAGAAGATGTTTTCCTTGTTCCAGCGATGCTAATGAACAGCAGTGCCCAAGATATCGCTGAGCTGCTGAAAGATCAGATGCCACCTCTTATCGTGTATTTTCCAAGCTCACATCTTCCTCTTGGTATCTTTCCAAGACTTCAGGTTTTGTTTGCAGAATTGTGCAATCGCAAGTGGTCAAGTGCGCGTCCGCCAAAGTTCTTCCACAACTTTTGCAGGTAACAGTTTTTAGGAGTACTTCAATACCTCGTATTGTTACAAGATTCGTCTTCTTCATCTAGAGAACGTTTTCTAGAGATCTTCTAAAGTCAATCGATTCATTCTTCTTCTTATGACATTTATGAGTATTTCCTATACTTGGCTTGGTCTTACTCCACTAATCTTCTATTTCTCCCCAATTAACAAATCTTCATAACCTGCTGTTACATGCCCTCTATTTTTTATGGCTTCACTTTTAATTTTGTTCATGAATTGTTTTAAAGATTGCTGATTTAGCCAGGTTAATATGTATGTTTATATTTCAAAAGGTTTTTTAGCATTGGCAAAGATGAAAGTTTTGACTTGGTGCTCACCTCTGACATCAGAACCATTTCTATTGGAGTTATCAATAATAATGAAGCAGACGACCAGAAGATCAGTGACTTTTGCCAGGAGGTCATTGACTTTCTGAAAACTAAGCTCGGTACAGACATGCGNCTGGAAAATTGATGACAAAGAAGATGTTTTCCTTGTTCCAGCGATGCTAATGAACAGCAGTGCCCAAGATATCGCTGAGCTGCTGAAAGATCAGATGCCACCTCTTATCGTGTATTTTCCAAGCTCACATCTTCCTCTTGGTATCTTTCCAAGACTTCAGGTTTTGTTTGCAGAATTGTGCAATCGCAAGTGGTCAAGTGCGCGTCCGCCAAAGTTCTTCCACAACTTTTGCAGGTAACAGTTTTTAGGAGTACTTCAATACCTCGTATTGTTACAAGATTCGTCTTCTTCATCTAGAGAACGTTTTCTAGAGATCTTCTAAAGTCAATCGATTCATTCTTCTTCTTATGACATTTATGAGTATTTCCTATACTTGGCTTGGTCTTACTCCACTAATCTTCTATTTCTCCCCAATTAACAAATCTTCATAACCTGCTGTTACATGCCCTCTATTTTTTATGGCTTCACTTTTAATTTTGTTCATGAATTGTTTTAAAGATTGCTGATTTAGCCAGGTTAATATGTATGTTTATATTTCAAAAGGTTTTTTAGCATTGGCAAAGATGAAAGTTTTGACTTGGTGCTCACCTCTGACATCAGAACCATTTCTATTGGAGTTATCAATAATAATGAAGCAGACGACCAGAAGATCAGTGACTTTTGCCAGGAGGTCATTGACTTTCTGAAAACTAAGCTCGGTACAGACATGCGGAAAGACTTCCCTTGGATGGAAAGGATGAAGTATAACCTGTGTATACGCTGTCCCATTTGCAAGCCGTCTCCCGACTGTAACCTGACCCATGTTCCAGGATGCGTAAGCCCTGCTTGTGTTCACTTCATCACAGAACAAGAAATCCTTAAAGTGAAGCGACTTCGCTGTCTAGAAAATCCAACTTCCAAGGTCACTGAAATTCCGTGCGACTACTTTTCTCACTGGTTTCCAAAACCAGAAAAGGTGAAAAACATTCTTTGTTTTAATGTTTTTGAGGTAGTAATGTTATCTTCAAGAAGTCAAGGCAGATTTTCCTTGACTTCTCTGGTCTCCAAGGGTCATTTTTTCATTTTATAGTATGTGAATAATTGATGGCAAAAGTACGCGAATATCGTGATCATAGACAGTTTATTTGTGAAGGATAATCAACCGTTGTAAGTCTCCTGACGTTATCATACTTAAATAATACTGATCTCAATTGACTAAATAGCCCTGTGTGCTGTCTTTTATAAAGCGCAAACGAAAAGTGTGGTGAAACCGTCATGAAATACTCCTAGTTACTTTTTCATACTCGCGATGTTTTTTTTGTGCATTTTCGTCTTTGCGAAATTCCAACCTGTTCGATATAGACCTTCAAGTGTTTCATTTCATCTTAAAATGATTTTAACAAAGAACTCGTTGCTTAAATGTTTAATTCTGTGTGATCACTCTTTTATATAGGTGTCTGCTACGAGACCAATCCACGAAGCCGGTCCCGAAACATTACCCATTGGCATAACTTCGACTACAGGTATTTAAAGATTGGAGTAATTTATTTTTAATTTCTATTAATTTCTATTAATTAATTCTTTCAGGATCCTTAAGTCTTGATGAAAATAAGAAAAGATGGGTTGTGGTTGGAATTGCTATCATGAAGGTACTGTTGCCTGCTTTGCGAACTTTTGTTCTTCCAAACATTACCAAGCACTACAATGATCTGAAGACCAGTCACAGCATCCACACCCAAGTCTTTGGAACACATCTTAAGATGGATGGAACATATAAATTCAATTATGACAGCATAAACAGCAACCAAGGAAAGAAACCACCGCTCTTTGACTACATGGTCACATCTGAGGTCGATTTGGCAAAGCTGTATTTSAAACCTTTTATGGCCAAATTCACCGGTTAGTTTTAAACTTTATTTTAACTTAATGATGCTTTTTTGTTTAAACGAATTGTATATTTGATGAAAGACCTTTATTGCATCGCTTTCTATGCGCTCGCTGGCTTCTCCATGACCGCAGTCACCGTAGCCTGTGTACATCCGTTTCTCACCCCTCAAAAAATCGGGGAGAGAACGTCTGTGATTTGCCGTTGCTAATCGTGTTCTGACATAAATTTGCATATATAATGTAACATGCACGTTAGAGCTTGAGCAGGCACGTTAAAAGGTCAAGTAAACAATGGACCGTTCCGCAACATAATTCGAACATAATGCCTAGAGATTTTGTTTTTGTTTCAGCCATTCAATTCTAACTTCGACCGTGGTTTATATTATTGTCTCTGCCTATTGGTCTATGCCGTGCTCTCTCTATCTTCGGTAGTAGGTGTCTCGTCAGAATGTGGTTTTCCTGTAATTTGCGTCATACAATGACTTCCATCAACCGTACTAATATCTTCTTGTGAAGATTACGTTGTCCTCGGCAGTTTTGAAGCTGTAACTCTGGCGCTTTCGCAGGCTATTATGAGATGTAGAATACAAACTACTAAGCCCCCTTCTCTTCTTTAGCACTTCTGACAAATGCAAGTTTTGTTCGTGAAGATTGGCGGCGAATTCTAATGACATTATAATTCCACATCAATTTTAAATTTACCCTGACCGAATATAAGATTAAAGCCTAAACTTTTACAGAGAATTTGAGAGCAAATAACATATTCAATTTGAAGCATTCTACATGTTCCAGTGGTTTACCATGAAGGCTTATATTTCACTCGTGTGACCAACTTTACACGCCATCTATTGATTTTGGCCAATCACAAGTCTCATAAGTCAACGGCCAATGAAATTCGTCCTCAAAATCTTGAGGAACTCAGAACACGATTAGCAACGGCAAATCACAGACGTTCTCTCCCCGATTTTTTGAGTGGTGAGAAACGGATGTACACAGGCTACAGTCACCGCATGGCCAGAAAATCCGGACATACGAGCCCGCAATAGCAACTAATAGCAGCGGTACTTCGCATAAAGCACAAAAACATGTTTGTTAAAATTTTACAAAGAAATGTTACGGATCAAAAAAACTATTTGAGAATAACACTTAATCTGTTTTACCTGGGACGTTTTCCAAGATGAATTCCTAGAGGGAAACTATTCTTGATTCCATTGTAGGAAAACCAAATAAACACTAAATTGTTAAGAGCGTCCATTTTGACAATTTTCTTTTCCTTTCGTCGTCTCCTTTGCCCTTGTATATCATGGTGAAAATCCACGAAGAAGCGAAATTACACCGTAGCTGATCGTGTTTCCTTACATGTCATTGATTTTTCAAAGATCATTTCTCAAAGTCCACACATTGAGCTAGAAATACAGCGATTTTCGAATGTCAGACCTTTTAAATTCCTTAGAAATGTACAAGTATAAACAAAAGATCACAATATCAACTGATTGTTGATATAATATAAAATACTTAAGGCAAACGTGTGTTCCAGCAAATAATAATATTTACACTATGAACATTCCAAACGAGCACCTCACAAGCCACTATGAACCAATACTCGTTTGTCGATGTTTTGAACGTTTCGATTTTCACCCAGTTTGTATTAAGATAAATGATCGTTGCACAAGAGTAGAAATTTTTTTTGGTAGAGAAATCGTACAATTTGAAAACACTAACTTGACGGTGAAATGGCTGGCGACGAAAATCTTCAAGAGTTCAAACCTTGTCAAGGGCTCTATTTTGGTGGGAAAACCAGCTGACTCGTCCCGGGCTCAAATGTCCGGAATTTCTGGCCATGGTCTCAAGAATTGCCAGGCGCTGGTTCCATCAGAATTTGGCATCGAGTTGTTCACCTCTTCTTTTAATCTTAACAGGAATTGATGAATCCTGTGACCTGTCGGCAGCTCTTGGAATATTATCTTCTGCCAGCGTTTTTACCATGGCAACACAAGATGCCGCGAAAGACGTCCGACAACACGTACGCAATGAATGGGGTCATTGCAATTTTACTGTATGGGACGAGGCGAAAATTGCAGACTGCTTCAAACTCATGGATGTTCTGGTGAAAAGTCTGATACTAGCTGATGAAGAAGAAAAGAAGTTGTTAGAACAACTCAAAGAATGGGAAGAGAGAGGTAAGTTGATTATAAATTTGCACGGATTCCTCTTGAGAGACTGAATGGGCTTTATGTGTTTACGAAGAGATTTAGTGTGTAAACGAGCAGAATGTAACGAGAGAATGTCCATTGGTAATTCATGGACACAATGGAAAAAAACATGTATCTGCTCGTAATGAATTAATTTTTCAATTCAAAATAGCTGCTCTGCCTTTGGTATACAACCTCTTTACTGCATATGTTCAAACTGCTCTTTGTAAACTTTAGGCCAACCAAGCATTATTCGTGTGTTCTTGTATTTATCAGTATAACGTATTCATTTCTAGGTGTTGAACATTTGCTTGGCAACCCAGCTGATGGAGGCCTGTTGAAACTCCATGAAGATGTGACCTCGGTGCTAAAGGAAGTGCAATCTCTCAAGGAAAGTAATACTGAAGAGTTCCAACGAATTAACTCTGCACTACAAGCGTTCAAAGAAGAGGTTGTCAAAAGTCTCAAAAAGCTTGAAGAGGGCCAGGAAGATCTTAAAGAGGGCCAGAAAGAAATGAAAACAATGTTAAGGCAGCTATTGCAAGTACAACATGGGTTTGAATGATTTGAAGGCACAGCTTAAACAATCCTCAATAAGATCGTGAATATGCTGGAGGTAACTCTTTATTAATAATGACAGGCAAAAAAAGATCTTAAAAAGATCTATACTAGCTGTCCTGCTTCATTCTGATTTATTGCATTCTATTTTCAAAAACATTCTTCTATTGGGTTGCTTTCCAAATAGTCCATTTAATCGTAATTTTTCCATGATTATGAAATTTAAACATGAATTTTACGCTGATTTTACTATTCGAAAGTGCCTATTGGTCAGAAATCAGTCAAATCGATTAATCTGTACCAATTGCTTCCTCGCTTCCCTTACACATTATAACCAATAATATTATTTGATACTACATTGCATTGCATTTAGATCACATAATAGTTATAGTACTTCTTACTTAGATTAATTAACCCAGCCATTCGAAATCGAACTCAGTTAGTGACATTAGCAGTCAATCAATCAATCAAATTATTACTAATCGTCAATTAAGGGTAGACATTTGATAACTTTTTGTTATTATTATTACATTTGTTAACGAAGTTCGTGGCTTGGTTGCATATATCTTTGACCTATGAAATTTATGATATTTTTCGGTATATTTAATTTGTAGGATTACGTACGTTTTAATGCAAGCAGTATCATTTTCTTTGTTTGAAGGGCTTGTCCACTTTCAATTTCATTTGGGGCCATTTTTTCAACCACCCCTGGAATAATCAAATGATCTGCCTTCAGTGGTGTCAACCAATAATCGTGGTTTTAACAGCCTTCGGGAAAAAGAAGTTTTGTTTCTAAGAATTCAACTGTGAAATGAAAATACAACGAACAATGAAACTTACTCCCGGGTGGTTTTAATTGGGTGGAAACGTTTATAGCAACGCGCTAGGCAATTAGGTCTATTAGTTCTAGTTTCTAAAATATTTAGGATACTACGCGCGCTGTGATTGGTCGAAAATCATATTTGATTACAGTATCAAAACACGCTCGTTTCATATCGTATCAAAAGTCAGTGAGAATTCTTTACAATTTTCGTATTCTTTAAATTTTAGAAAAGAAATAAAACTAAGACGAAATTCCGTGTTTGATACTCTGATCAAAACACTTGGGATGTAGGGAGAGCACTCGAAAAGCTGGAAACTAGCTACGCGTCGTGGTTTCCTACCCTTCTCTCGTGCTCTCCCTACATCCCGCGTGTTTGATCAGAGTATCAAACACGGAATTTCGTCTTTTATTCCTTAAGTCAATATTAAAGTCGTTTTTATAGTGACCATTAATTGAATATTAGTGAGACTAAAGGCTGGTAGCCACAGTCTGAATTTATTGTTTTGTTTTGATCTATACCAACAAATACTAACTATAACTAACTTTTCATTGCACAGTAGTCAAATAAAAACAACATACAGTTTAAGATTGTACTAGGAATTACTCATTGCAATTTTATAGAGAATACAGCATGAGAGAACACTGCACTGTCATATTTTTTGTCCTGTGATAAAACATATAGGCATCTCCTAGAGGGCTTAGAGTATTTTTGTATATGTTATATATAGTGCAGTATAATATTAGATTTGAAGAATTGTTTTTTACATATAATAAACCTATTTTGTTACTATATTACTATAAGTTTTAACGTCGTTACCCAAAGTTACACGATACCGTAACATTTTAGCGTTCTTTTGAATGTCAATAATAACTTCAAATTTTCTAGAGTTATGCAGGACGCCTTTTAGAAAATCATTGTTATCCTAAAGGTAACATGTACTAACAATTTCTATAATAAAAAAGATATGATTTTGAATTGTATTTTTTTTTTGCAATCTAGACTGAATTGAAAATGCAAAAATGAAGTGATGTCAACTAAGGAATTGGCTTAGACTTTCTAACGAACCTACGACTTATAATGGGATTTTGAACCACTGCTTCAAATCCTACAACTTGTTTTAGGAAAATCGTATACTACAAATCGCATTCGTACAATCGTACCGTGTACTTGTACAGTCAAAACTTGCAAATAAAAAGCAAAAAATATGTAATTTTTTATCCATATAATGGATTCCACAACAGCCACCATCATAACATTGAACGTGCGTGCCTCTGAAATCGAGTTTGGGTACTTGGCTTGTCATCCATTGACAGTCTCTAACTTTACTCTTTCGTGATATTGCATGAACAATCTTTCATTAGTTGACGTCACTTCATTTGCATTTTCAATTTTCAAACGCTTTCAGACCAGAGGATGTAAATTCGAAGCAACTTTTTGATAATTTTCTGAAAGGCGTCAATTAAAGATCGATATAGTTGTGAAAAAAGAAAGAAAGAAAGAAGTAGAAATAAAATTAAAGTCGACATAAAATACAAATGACCGACGTCTTCTTCGTTTTCATTGAGCATGTTACCATAGTACACAACCATCCAAAACAAGACCCAACATTGATGAAAGGGGGCTAAGGGGGAGAACTGTGAAAAATAAAGGAGAAAAATGTTTGGATGGAGACTAATAGTTTAAGTGTCCAAGGTTTTTTGGCAACGATTGTAGTTCCCCTGCATATATATCGAAAGTCAATAATTGAATCATATTTTGTTAAGTTGTACTTAGCCTGATGATGGTTTTGTAATAAAACCGAAATATTGCTCTTACTGTCTAATTGTATTCGATGCCCATTCGATGTTGAACATCAACTAGGAATATGAAATATTCGGTGTTACACTCATTAGGTAAGGCTAAGGCCACGTTAAAACGAAATTAAAAGAAATATTCCTTGTACGGTTACAGTTTGGTACAGGAGTAGTCCGGATCAAAAGAGCAGTTCATATTTTCAAAGTACAAGTCAAAAAGAGATAATTTAAACAATTCAAGACTACAGAACTTATTCGGCGAAAAGACTTTACATAAGATATTCCACTAGGGTTTTACAATTTTGTTAAAGAAGGAGGACTGGTAGGCAGTAGTTCTGCAGCGCGCCAGTTTAAGCACTAGTGAG